CCGGCATCTCCAACATGGGAGTGGTTCCTGGGCCCCATGTCGCGATGTCCTCCAGGCATCATATGTATCACCAAAGCATATGTCATCAGCAAGCACATGCCCAATTGTAAAACTGGCAATAAGCGACCTCCCAAGCTGCGACGGCCGAATCCGGTTACACGCTTCGTTCCGTTGTCTTCAAGAAGTCGTCTGTTGCCTCCGCTTGTACAATCCAACGCTCGCTGATTATGCAGTGGCGCATACCAAGCTGCTACTGAAAGTCCAAAATCACGCCAAATGCCAAAACATGCTTTCATCGTTCTTTGGCCCCACTTGTCCAAAAACAAAGCACGGCGTGGCTCAGCATCACGTGACTGCAAGCGTGGTGACATCAACACTCTGGGCTCAACATGGCGTTGATTGTCAGCATCAGTCACTTGTGCTCCAGTCTGCCTGAGTTCCAAGTGTGTGAAAATGCCACCATCTGCAGCCTCATCTTCGAGTACATGTTTGAATGTCAACGCTTCAGAAAGTTCCTGTAGAACTTTGCCGCTCAAACCGCGCATCAGGGCGCGATCATCTTCTGGGAATTCCGAATTCGTCCTCGATCCGTAGCTTTGCGCATTGAGCTCAGTCTTCTTTGCTGCACGATCAACCTCGATCTTGTGCTCGGTGAAGAGATGCAGGGAAAGACCCGCAAGAGCGAACACCAGAAAGCAAAAGATCGAGTTCTTGACCTTGCAGCAGGAGCCACCGGAACAACCCGATAGCTCCGCTACCAAGTCAAGAAATCGATCCCTGCCCGAACCCCGTGGCCTGATGTCCAAGTGAACTGCTCTGTGAATCGCTTGTTGTCCTTTTCGCTTCGCACGTCTTCCATGGCTCCTCGTGTCGTGCATGACGGTATTCGTCAGCACTGTGACTGGCTTTCTGCTTAAGGGCTTAGGGTTCAAGGGAGAGGTTCAGTCCAGCAGGGATGGAAACGATGGCCTATGCTATCAACCACCTACCTAATTAACCCAAATGCAAAGGTTGACCACCTCGAGGCTGCACGGCGGCAGATTGTTGCACGGTTCGAAGTGGCACGGATCGGAATGGCACCAAGCCTGCCAGGTACACTTTGACTTAGGGATTTGGGGGTTTAGGGTTTAGGGTTTAGGGTTTAGGGTTTAGGGTTTAGGGTTTAGGGTTTAGGGTTTAGGGTTTAGGGTTTAGGGTTTAGGGTTTAGGGCCCGAGCACAAGAAAAAATCCCAGGCTGACATCCGAACAACAACACGGCCAAGATCCTGCGCAAAGAAAGACGGCATCCAGAGACCAGGACTTTTGGCGCTGTTTGGTTTAAGGCTCCGAAACCCTAGAACCCAAAAGCCCCTGAAGCTTAAGGATTGTTGAGGTTGCTAGGCTTTCAGTCTCCGAAACCCTAAACGCCCAAAAGCCCCTTAAGGGGGCCAAATCCGAAACCCCAAAAAAGGTCAGGGCCCGGGTGGCGGCTTTGATCCGCTCCAGCTGCAGGTTTGCCATGGCATCCGAGGCAAAGCTGGTCCTCTTGGGGGCGGTTGCTGGAGTAGGGGATAGGATTCGGGGGGACCCTTGGGATATAGACCCTCTGAATAAGGTCCCTGTTTAAGAGAGCCAGAAGAGGTTTCAGAAGGGCTCCCTTGTAAGGGTCCCCCTCGGCGTAAGGTTCACATCTCAGGCGGCCAAACCCAGCCAAAGCCAGCAGCCAATGCAATGGACTTCTTGCCGCTAGCTAACATGGTAGCACCAGTGCGCCCGAGGTCCGCGACGTGATGCGGTAGTTCTCTTATGTTTCTGTATAAACCGTCCGGATTGAATCCGAACTCGGGGCGTTTGTTTGTTGCGCATCTGCTGTGCCCAGCTTTGATTTGTGATGGCAGTTTTTTGCTCGTGTCTCGCAGGGCAAAGAAGGTGCCGTTCACACATGCGACTTGCATCATGATGCTCTTTTTGCTATTCCGAGCTTCCGTCCACGACACGCAGATCGTTTGGGCCTAGGTCCTTGTCGTTGCCATTTCCATTGAAGTCGCTGTGTACTCCGGACCGCGCTGGTTAGCTTAGAACTTGAATGGGGTGCGCTGGTAACACCCGTTGACGGATCATTTAGTTGGGCTCTCTGGCGAAGAACTGCTAGCTCCTGGCGCTCGGTGTACGAACCCTAGTCCCTCGGGGTTACGAACTGGCATCGCCAGGGCCAGGTTTTGGAAAAGGAAACCTCCACACACTTGCTCAGTCACAACCCAAGCAAGAAAACCCGAAGCTTGGGATGTTCCCCCTTAGACTAACAGTCCTTAATAGGGATTCTAGTATCCCCCAATACAATCCCTATCAAGGACTTGCTAGTAAAAGGGTGAACATCCCAACCCGAAACCCTTTGGCCGGCGGCTGGAAGTGGCTGGCTCCAGGTGGGGGGCTCCAGGGTTTGTACAGTCATTTGGGCTCCAACCGAATCTGAAAAAACAAAAAAAGAGCCCCCCGATGTCCCGGTCTCGGCCGGCACGACTTCATCCGGCCTTATGCGGGGCTCTTGCTTGCTTTGGGCTTGGGACCCTAAACCCTAAACCCGAAGCCCTAAGCCCTAAACCCCAAACCCTAAACCCTAAACCGTAAACCCCAAACCCTAAACCCTAAACCCCATTCGGACTTCTCAGGTTTCTTTCTGGGCTCTGAGGGTTCATGCCCACGTCTACACATTTGGGGCGTGGAGAAAGTGGGCCTCCAAACAAGGGAGCCTCTGCCACGAAGCGCCCTAAGCCCGAAACCGTAATTTAGGGTTTAGGGTTTAGGGTTTAGGGTTTAGGGTTTAGGGTTTAGGGTTTAGGGTTTAGGGTTTAGGGTTTTTTTCCCACCGTTTCGCAGGGTTTAGGGTTTAGGGTTTTGGGTTTAGGGTTTAGGGTTTAGGGTTTAGGGTTTAGGGTTTAGGGTTTAGGGTTTCCAAAATAATGTCCGTACCCCAGTGCTGCTGGAACCCCAAGCAACAAAAACACAAGGGCAGCTCCGCCTCTGAGCCCAGGAAGCTCTCAAAACCTCAAGAAGCTCCTAACAAAAAACACAACCCGGGGTTTGTTTTGGGCTGCGCACTCTGTCTCCTAAACATAGGGTTTGGGGCTTAGGGTCTAACACCCCAAACCTTAGGGCAGCTCAAGAAGGGTGGGGGAGCTGCGGCTCGACTATCAATCTCGTGTACTCAGAAAAGAGGGCTTAGAACCTCTTTCAAACCTTGGGGTCGTCCGTCCACAGACTGAAAAGCCCAAAAATGCTCCCCCTGAAGCCCCAAACGAGGATGGGCTATGAGGCCCTACAACCCCCATAAACAGCCAGATGAAGGCTCTCTTTTTTAGGGGTCATATTACCCCATCCTGGCCTAAGCCCCTGCAGCCGAAACCCTGCCCAGCTGCATGGCGGCTTCTCCTTTCTGCCTCGCCCAGAAGCGGGCTGCGGCATGTGACGCGAAGACGTGGCTCGCGTGCCCGTCCGGAGTCGAGGGTGGGTCGCGGCTGGGTGGACTTTAGGGAGGTTCGAGGGCTGTAGGGTTTAGGGCTTTAGGGTCTTCCAACACCAGTCCCCCTGGCCGAATTTTGCTGAAACCTTGGGGGCTGTACAGCCCCCCACCTGCCATGTGACCTTCCTATGGTGGCTATGACTGTTTCGTGCCATGGGCTGTGAGCCAAGAGATCAAGGAGGCAAAAGCACAGACATTTGTGTGAAAGCTGAGAGTGCAAGAGAGTTTGGGGTGTGGGGGTTAGGGTTTGGGTATAGGGTTCAGGGCAGGATGTATAGTTTCTAACCACAACTTCTAAATCAACTCCTTGCACCTTGCCTCCCCAAAATTCTTGCACTGCATTGATGCCATGCACAATGCTATGGCCCAGAACATGTCGCCTTTTTTTCACAACATCGGGTTTGAGTTTTGCACGACTCGATCTCTATGCCGGTCGGGCCCCCAAACCTTCCCCAAAAACGGCTGCCTACCTTAAAGTCTCGGGTTGAAGAACATCTCGCGACTGCTGAAATGAAGTGGGATGTGACTTGGTGCAAGGACATATCACACCTGCAGACACTGTGTTTCCATGGACCGGATAATGGTAATTCTAACAACAACACAAACAGTCTTCGCATAGTTCTCGTATTCCTATACATTCAGGAGCCACGTGCCACTACTTGGTCCTTGGGCCTAGCGCATCCACCAAGCACCTTCGACTGCGAGGTCTTTTTCCTGCGCTTCGAGAGACCATGGCAACGTCGTGCCACGTCGCCACGGGCCTGAGGACGTCGTTTCTGCGTGTGGGGCAGTGGCCGAGATTCCTAGATGCTCGGATGCATGTGAAATTCGTCTCGGCTTCTGGCCGAATGGCGCCTAGGATCTGGTCTCCTTCCCACCCTTCCCCAGCACAAACCTCAAAAAGGTGCCAAACCCCCGTGGCAGGTCCAAGCCCTCCTACGACCTCCTGATCTCATGATGCGCGTGGTGCTGCGCCACGTGACATAGCACTTGGCTTTGCTTCGTCTGCGATGCGCACACGACACCCCACATCGGGCCAGCCCGGCCGCCGGAGGCGGCGCAGGCGTTTACAATTACAGCCACTCCTTCCGAAATCGCTGGCAACAGACCCTCAACAATGATGGCAGAGGCCCTGAGGAGAAGGGCGCTTATCTGCAACTCTTGACGCAAACACTAAAGGGTCCAGACCCTCAAGTCTTGCTTCCGACACTGGAGGTTGAATGGCTCTGTTAAACTCTGCCCTAAACCCTACCTAAATCACACCGCAGTCTTCCAGCGTTCGGGTGTTCAGCCCTTCTTCTCGCATGGGGCGTCCGAGAAAATTTCCACACCTCATCTACCCCTTTTGCATCCGGTCTATGATGTGAACTACCCGTAAACTCTAAGCCCCCCCCCCCCCCCCCCCCGGCCAAAAAATCGAAAAACAACATTTAAAAACACACACACACACACACACACACACACACACACACCAAATCCGTAAACGTCTGGACCCAGCCTTCAGATGTCAGCCGTCTCCTCCTTCGATGCGGCTGGACGGCGCTCGTCACGGAAGGCCAGTGCGAATCGGATGATCATCACCAGGCACACCCCCTTGGGTGGTTCGGGGACTGCTTGGGGTTGGCTTCGGGCTCAGGGTGTTTCAGGGTTGTGGCCACCCACCTACTAAAATCAAATAGCTGACCTAGCTGACTTGGTCGGTTTCAAGGAATTCGAACGGCTCATGTGCGGGGGAGGGGGGGATTCTGAGGCTGAACCGTGCCCCCACCAAAGACACGTTGGAGCTTGCCCAGGCTTTCTGGAACCTTCCCCAAAAGAGGCAAATATGCCATTCTTAAACCTGCGAGATGATACTCCTTGGGGGTACCCTTCTCTGCAGGAAGCACTGCTGAACGTGGGGACAAACATGCGTTCCCCGGTTCTTCGTCGCGGTCCAGGGATTTGGTTTTCCGGGCTTCGGGGCTTCTCACGCATTCAGCGCCCAGACGTCCTTGGAACACGCAGGATCCGACGATCCGTACCCCTCAACTACCTGCATCTGGTCTGCCAGCTCAGCCGGAAGGGGAGCCCCACAGACTGGAGAACCCGCAACCAAAATGCGCACCGCACACGCCCGAAGAGTAGCCCATGGTCTGAAACATCTTGGAGGGCATTCCTAGAAGACGACCCTCCAGTCCCCCTTGTACGCTTGACAGGAGGCCTAAACCCTAAACCCTGAACCCTAACCCCTGGACCTTATAAGCCCTAAACCCTGAATCCTATATAGACCCTAAACCCTAAACCCTGAATCCTATAAACCCTAAACCCTAAACCTGAACCCTGAAGCCTAAACTCGCTTTCGATTTGACACCCTCCACCCGGCCACGAAGGCCGCAGCCAAGCAACCGCCGCCAGGAAGGAAACCCTGGGTTTTTCGAGCTTGAGGCTGTCGAACGTGATCGACGTGTTGAAATTTGGAATATAGATACGCACGTATATACATATACACACATACATATATATATAGGAATAAAAGCAATGATATACATTCGCATTCTACCTGTCATTCATATTCTACCTGTTTCTATATACATATACATATATATATATATATATTATGCAGCAGCTGTTGTGTAGTGGGCGTTTTAGGTGCAGGTCTGCGAGGTCTCAGTTGTCGTTCCAAGGGGAACATCAAGGTTAAGGTTTGGGATTCTACTATGCATTCTATTTCCCCGGAAGTTTAAAGGTTGCAGGGGTCCACTAACTCGACTGCAAAGTTCCCCTCCCTCCCAGAATTGAAAACCCTCACAAAGCCCAAAGTACCTTAGGAGCCCAGCTTTCTGAAACCGCCCCCCCCCCCCCCCCCCCCCCCCCCCGCACCCCCCCGCAAGCAGCTCAACCCTAAGCCCCTGAAAGGCATGAACGGCAAGGCCAAGAATCAGAAAGATCATCACCTTAGCCGGCTCCCCAGTTGATCCTAGCTTGCAAGAACCCAGACCTATTGTTGAGGTCACCTAAGACTTCGAAAAGAAGCTGAAAACTCATGACCTACAAAAAGTAGGTTTGAGGTCCTTCATCTTAAGGTAAGGCAACTAGTACATCATTACTTGCTTTGACCCACGGCGCTCGGCTTTTTGGAAGACAGTCAGGGTCTGAATAAGAAATGGGATTTCATGTGCAAGCTCAGGGTTGAACGGACTCTCTGTCTGTGGGTTGGTTTTAGACACGCCCCCCGCCCCCCGCCCCCCAGTACGGTAGCCCCCTCCCTCCCGCCCCCCTGTCCACCGTAGTTTGCAGGGTTTAGGCGGTTTTACTTTAGGGTTTTAAGGTAGGTTTGGTCGTGGGTGGGTTTTTAGCGTTTGGGGCGCCCAAAAAAACAACATGCTTAGACTATGACTACGAACCACGGCGAAGCCCGAAACCCTAAACCCAACATCCCTAAGTCGAAGCCACGGCTTGGTGTTCTTGCGGATTTAGGGAATTAAACAGGGGTATCATGATGATAAGTGCTGTCTCGGTTTGGACTATAGATTATAGGGGGGTGGAGTCAAGACGGGCAGGTCGAACTGAAACCGAGAATGCAACCGGTCAACCCCGCAAAATACCCCCAAAAAAGGGCTGAAAAAAGGCCAAAGGCACCAGCTGCGTGAAGATGGAGCGGGCCCAGTGGAGGTCGTTGGCCACGAGGGTGGTGGTCAGCCCGGTCATGGTCAAAGCAAGGGCCAGCAAGGCGATCTCGGAGCTGTTGAACGACTCGACCTTCAAAGTAAATACGACAAAGCACAATAGTTGAATAAACATAGTAAGACTTATTCTGAACTCATTAACTATTCACAACTATTATCCATTAATCATGATTTCTAAGCATTAAAAACTTTAAAACAATGTTGGATGTGAAAAGAATATTGGACGTCTCCAAGTACTCCCAAGCCCAGATCTCCCAACAACCCCCCAGCCTTGTAGGGCTGGAAGTAATAGTGAAGACCTGCAGAGGCTGTCAGGATCAGGCTCACGGCTTCCATCTGCAGGGCCTTAGACGGAGCAGCCGTGGACTCGGGAACTGTCTGGGATTCGGCATGTTGGGCCGGTGGGGTTTAGGGCTTTGAGATGCGGCTTATAGGAGTTTGTGCTCAGGCTTTTACCATGAGGCCAATGACGAGCAAGCATCTGTCACCTGAAGCCCTGAAGCCCGACAGAACCCTAAACCTGGCAGGCCACAGGCGACAGCGTCACAGGCAGCATGGTGGTGACCAAAGCCAAAAGCATCTTCCGTGCCAGGCGTTCCACCTCACAGCTGTTGAGGTTGGGCGGCGGCAGGGTACTGGCAGGGTAGGGCAGGGCAGAGGTTAAGGGTGTAGGGTGTAGGGTGTGGGGCTTAGGGTTTGTGGTGTAGGGTGTAGGGTTTAGGGTGTAGGTTTATAGGGTGTAGGCTTTAAGGTGTGGTGGGGTAAGGCAAGCGTGGGCTCGAGTTTCGGGTCAAAGGAGCCTCGAAGGCATCTCAGGATGCACATGCGAAGTACACCACACCAAACGCCAAACCCTTTTGCCTAAACCTACACCCTTTTTTTGCAGCTACACCCTTAAACCCTTAAACCCTCAACCCTTTTGCTTCCGGGCTGTCGAAACGCCTTTTTTCTAACCCTACTAAACCGGTTCTGCGCAGGGCCCCTCTTCGAGTCTCACGATTCACACATTGACCGCCTTCGGGCTCCCCAGTGGTCGAGTTGGATTCTCTGCACATATTTGGTTAAAGGCAAGAACTATGGTAGCCCGGTACCCATGTGATATTCAGGGTACCCCCCGCCCATTTTGGGGTTGGTTACTTGATAAGGGAACATTGAAGCAACAAAAAGAGAGCAAAGGGTACTGGGCTACCAAGAAAACAATGGCATGTCTAACTGGGGTATTAAAGTGGTCCGGGGGCTGGCTGAATGCTTACAGGTGCCAACGCTTTAGGGTTTAAGGTTTTTCCCTCCTGCACAGCCGGAGCAAATCCGCATCGCAGGCGATTGCGAGTCTTAGTTGGTTGGTCGTGGTTTAGGGTTTAGGGTTTAGGGTTTAGGGTTTAGGGTTTAGGGTTTAGGGTTTAGAGTTTCTTTCTTTTTTTCTTTCTGCGCACCTAACCCCCCTCAATTAAGGAGGGCCGCCCGGAGGCGTGCGTAACATGACTCAGCGGACTAACCGATGTTGTGGGGTTTCCGGTTTAGGGTTTCTCTCTCTCTCTCTCTCTGCCGCTGCCAGGGTTTAGGGTTTAGGGTTTAGGGTTAGGGTTTACGGTTTTGGGGTTTAGGGTTTAGGGTTTAGGGTTTAGGGTTTAGGGTTTAGGGTTTACTGTCAGACTATTGCATGGCTTCTCCCACCTCCCACACGGAGCAGTCGACTCTGTAGGCCTCCCAGGACATCGAGGGCTTCGGGTTGGGTCTGGGGCTCTGTCGTAGCCCTAAACCCTAAACCCTAAACCCTAAACCCTAATTAAACCCTTGACAGAAGCAGCCTGCATCAGGTAGGCCACATGAGGCCGCATGGGCTCCTGGCGGAACTGGACCTAGGCCAGGGCCGCTTTCAGAGAGTCGGCTGACGTTGGTTTTGAGGCGTTGAGGGTGGTGCGTCTGGGATATACAGGGGCTGAGACCTTAGGTTGCAACTCAAGCTGCCCCCGAAGGTCATCTTCTGAAAGAGGGTTGAGGCAGGAGAGGCCCTTATAAAAGTCAGGCGAACGGGCTCCTCAAATGGCATGCCTCTTGGCCCCCTGAACAGAAGAAACGAAGCCGGATGGGCCCCGTGAGTTACCATTGAGAAAGAACACGCTTGGATGCCTCACAGAGCACATGGGTGGTTGTCAAAATTATGGTCCCTTTTTGGATCCCTATTTTAATACGGTACCTGATATTTAGGGTACCCCAAAAGGGATTATAATTTTGACAGCCACCCACATGACTGAAGTGAAAACCCGAACGAATCGAGAAGCACGTGCTGCGCTAAAGGTAAAGTTGCTACGGCTTTTCGTGACCCTGTCACCGTGCAAGAGCCCTCAAACGATGAAAGCCGACAGGTAGAGCAACGATCTTCTGAAAAAGGCCTCGAACAATCGTCGTGTTGAGAACAACTTGAAAGCCTCAAGCCACACAACCCTTTCTCCCCCTGAACCCTAAACCCTAAACCCTAAACCCTAAACCCTAAACCCTAAACCCTCTTTAAGTCTTAAAGCTTCCCATGTAGGCCCAGGCCGCCACGTACAGCCAGCTACCCGCGCCCAGCGCGAAGCACGCGCAAACGGAGGCCACTACCAGGGCCTCTCTGGCTTCGGGAATCTCAGGGGCCTGAAGGGTCTGAAGGGTCTGAAGGGTCTGAAGGGTCTGAAGGGTTAAGGGTTTAGGGTCTGGGTTTAGGGTTTAGGGTTTCGACTTGGTACACTTCACGATTTGTGCGTAGGGTTTAGGGTTTAGGGTTTAGGGCTTAGGTGTCAGGGTTTAGGTTCGGCAACGAGGATCTCAGGTCACTCTATGGACCGGAGAGAGGCCAGCCAGCACCATGTTAGGCCCATCCTATGTGGGCACGGCAACCAACCCTCTCAGCGCCAGTGGGCAGCTAGTTGTTCCAATTCGAAAACTAGGAGCCCTCCTTGGTGCCCTGGTGCCCTGCTGTTGAGTCGAGGTCTTATGTTTCAGCTTTTCGGCAGCAGCTTGCACTTGCATGCGTGTTTCTGAAGGGGGGGGGGGGGGGCCGGGGAAGGAGCCGGGTGGGATCCCGCAACCCTCAATCCTGAGCCCCTGAAAATTCTCGAAACCTGAACCCCTCAAGAATCATCCGGCCCCCTTCCAAGCCGACCAACTCCGCCAAGCTGCCAGGACGGCGGCTGCCGGGCCTGGGGGCAGGAAGTCCCAGTGCAGTTCCTGGCGGTGGTGGCGTGGTCGCACTGGCACAAGGCTGGCAAAGCTCCCAGAGCTAACTGTCTCAGCTTGCCAGGCGGCTGTAAACTGTAGGTGGCTCTGGGTACTAGCTTTCGTGATGCTACGCCCTGCCTGACAAGATGCCTTGCCGCATCCTTTGAACAGATGCACCACTTAGTTCCCAAGCACCCAGAAGACCTTAACAGATGCACCACGTAGTTCCCAAGCACCCAGAAGACCTTAGGCACCCCGAACCCATAAACGCCATACTCCCCTAAGGCGGCTGAGGTACCCCTCCCAGGCGTTCTGGCCGGAGGCGGAAGACGACCAGGTACCTGGGAAAGCCCTACACCCTAAACCCTAAACCCTAAAACCCTAAAACCCTGAAACCCTAAACCCTAAACCCTAAACCCTAAACCCTAAACCCTAAACCCTAAACCCTAGACCCTAAACCCTAAACCCTAAACCCTAAGCCCTAAGCCCTAAGCCCTAAACCCTAAACCCTAAACTAAACCCTGGCGCATCCTTGCACCTCCTTTTGGGATTTAAGGGAGTTTGGGTTTCGGGCCTGGGAGCCTCGGACACCTGGAGGCCGCAGCCCAAAATCCCAGAGCCAAAGCCTGCAAGACATTTCGACTGCTTCACTAGACCCCAAGAGTAACCTGGGACAAAAAGGCTGCCCTTTTGGTTCAAGAAAGGGCTTTTCAGGGCCCCTGAACCCTAAAAAACGGGGAAGAAGGACCCCTAAACCCGAAAAAAAGGCTCATAAGGGCCCCTAAACCCTAAACAACGGGGAATAAAGGTCCCTCCTCCGGGTCTTAGTTCAGACTTTCGGGCGCAGCTGCTTGCCAAAGGCCGCGGTGAAGGCCTGCCAGCCAGCAAGCGCACTGAAGGGTTTAGGGTTTAGGGTTTAGGGTTTAGGGCTTAAGGTTTGGGGGTTCCGGGTTTAGGGATTAGACGCTCCACACAGCGACGCTCCGAATGCCGGATACTGTGCCGCATGCCCTGTCAGCCTCTGTCAGCTCTGAACACAGCCTGGCCTAAATGACCCTGAGCCCTGAACACCAAACCCTAAACCCAAAACCCAAACCCAAAACCCAAAACCCTAAACCCTAACAACAACCCAGCCGGGAGGAAGACGTTGGTGCCCACCACCGCCGCCAGCCAGCCGCCTTTAAGTACGCCAAGACCAGCCTTGGCCACGGCTTCAGCAGTTTGGTTTAGGGTTTAGGGTTTAGGGTTTAGGGTTTAGGGTTTAGGGTTTAGGGTTTAGGGTTTAGGGTTTAGGGTTTAGGGTTTAGGGTTTATGGTTTAGGGGTTTAGGGTTTAGGGTTTAGGGTTTAGGGTTTAGGGTTTAGGGTTTAGGGTTTAGGGTTTAGGGTTAGAGGGTTTAGGGTTTAGGGTTTAGGGTTTTGGGTTTAGGGTTTAGGGTTTAGGGTTTAGGGTTTAGGGTTTAGGGTTTAGGGTTTAGGGTTTTGGGTTTTGGGTTTAGGGTTTAGGGTTTGGCGTTTAGGGTTTAGGGTTTAGGGTTTAGGGTTTAGGGTTTAGGGTTTACAGTAGGGTTTAGGGTTTAGGGTTTAGGGTTTTGGGTTTAGGGTTTAGGGTTTAGGCTTAAGAACCTCCCAAAAATCAAAGATAATAATCCCTATGTGGCCCTTATAAGGCAGAATATTTTTTTGTACTAAGGCAGACAATTTTGTTTTTTTGGGGGGTTTCTTAAGCAAATAGTGGGGGAGCTTCTGAGTTCAGGAGGGCTTCTAGGGCATTTAGTTTCATGGGCTTTTGCAGGACCCAACTTTGCGAATTGCGAATACGCTGAACAAGACCTTCTAACAAGCCCGCCGCTTCGAACCACAAACCCAACTCAACTTCCCAGACTTAAGCAAAAGAGCCTAAGTGAAGAACACCCAACACAACAGGGCTGAGAACCAAACAATGCCGTTGCAGTCTTGCCGCCGTTCTCGACGTTGAAATCATAAGGGTTCATAGGGTTTAGGGTGTTCAACCCTGACCCGTGGCAAGTCGCAACGAGGACCGCTGGCCAGATGGACATCAGCACATGCGCGTGGTGCACTGTCTTCTCCATCCCCATCAGGGCCAGAAGGCACTCCTCCGTGTTTCGAGAGCACGAGCGATTGCGGCTGTCAAAACCAAACCAGGAGAAATAGAAGTAGTGTTTGTGACATCCAACCCTTCCCTAAACCCTAAACCCTAAACCCTAAACCCAGAAATGCCCAGGTTCTGCTGACATCTGGGGCCCGCCAGAAGTCTGCCCTTGCGCGATGTCCACCGGGAGCAGGAAGTACTCCAGGAGGTCCTGCGCCGATCTGCGGCTTGCTCGCAACCACTGAGGGTTTAGGGTTTAGGGTTTAGGGTTTGGGGTTTAGGGTTTAGGGTTTAGGGTTTAGGGTTTAGGGTTTAGGGTTTAGGGTTTAGGGTTTAAAGTTTAAGGTTTAGGGTCCTTTTTTGCCACCCGCCTAGCTGATGCAGAACATCGCACTGCAGGAGGGTTTAGGGTTTAGGGGTTAGGGGTTAGGGGTTAGGGGTTAGGGGTTAGGGGTTTAGGGTTTTTTTCCACCAGAGCCACATCGCGAGGAATTTGTCGTGCGGTTTAGGGTTGAGGGGTTTAGGGTTGAGGGGTTTAGGGTTTAGGGTTTAGGGTTTAGGGTTTAGGGTTTAGGGTTTAGGGTTTAGGGTTTAGGGTTTAGGGTTTAGGGTTTAGCGTTTAGCGTTTAGGGTTTAGGGTTTAGGGCTTTTGTTTAGGGTTCCCTCCCTCTATCCGGTTTTTTGAAAACAAGACATATCACCTCAATATCGCAAAATTCTGGAAGAGTCTGAAAAGGACAGACCTGCCCAATTTGAGACTGCGCTCAGCAGAACACCCGCCTGCGTTCCCTGCTGCAAGCTCTGGAAGGCCTGCGTCTGCATGGCACCAGACCTCTATCTGCTCTGCGCGGGCGCAACCGGGCACAGCTTCCATGCGGTTTAGGGTTTAGGGTTTAGGGTTTAGGGTTTAGGGTTTAGGGTTTAGGGTTTAGGGTTTAGGGTTTAGGGTTTAGGGTTTAGGGTTTAGGGTTTAGGGTTTAGGGTTTAGGGTTTTCCTTTCGAATCCGTTGACTTGGTGGCTCTCAGTGGGGAATCAAGGGCTTCGGGTGCCCCATGAAATCCGTCGAGGGGTCCCAAGAGCACCAGGCACCTCAGGGCCCCCAACTTCCTAGAGGAAGTTGGGACACTGTCTTCTTGGTGTCTTAAGTGCCACAGCACCAGCTTGGTGATCTGGAGACCGACCCTTTCTGCAGCCACCCCTTTTGGTGGCTCTTGGGCTCCTCTTGGGTTTGCCCCAACCCTTTGACCCAAAAACCCTCAAGCCCAAAGGCTGTCGGGCCGAAAGGGTTCGGCCCCATCTTTGCGGGCAGGGGGGCATGGCTACGCCGGCAACGGCGGCGAAGGCCATCAGCCTCGGGCCGTGAAAGGAAGATGCCCCCTTAACATGAGACGAAAAACTCCTTCTGCTTCGCCTGCTGTGATGGACAGAAATACAACTGCCTTGCCGTACTCTTGTCAGTGGAGCTTGATATACCAACCAGCTACCATGAGCACAAAGCCAAGCCCATGCTCCAAAGCCAAGCCATGCTCAAACCAAGCAGCTGGTTGAGCAGCGTGGCGCTTGCCGCCCTCTCAGCTTTGGCGCCCGTGACCTCGGGAGGTGCGCCGAGATTCGGTTGAAGAAGGCCCCCTCTTTTCAAGATATCTCCTGAGGTGGGAAACCCGGAACTGCCAAACGGGAAGATGCTTCAAGCTTGGAAGAAGGGCTTTGCGAGGCTTTTTTTGGGAGGCCTCTGAACCTCGAAGCCTAAGAGATGCTCTCTCTCTCTGACGTGTTCAGCGTGATGCTTGACGAAACTCGGGCCCTTACACTGCCGACGGCAGAGGCAAAAAGGGCCAAGTTCTTGATGATATAGAAGGCCACATACCGCACCACCTCCCCGGCAATCACAGGGCATTGTAGGCATAAAGTAGGAGCAGTCCGAGAACCTTTCGCATGTAACTGCAATACTCTTGACGAATGAAGAGTCATGAGTAAGGATTGCCATCCTCATCCTCATCGCAACGAAGAATCACGATCATCAGAAGCATCACAGCCAATCACAGCCAGTCTTCACGACCAGAATGGTCAGAATTGTGGAGGAAATCATGAACAGGAAGAGAAACTGAACCCACCAACCCCGGCTCCTTCGGGCGAGTCGTGGCGCACTCCACACATTGCAGGACGTTGCTGTCCCCGCGGGCGTGGTCTTCCATACAGCGGGTGCACCTGATTCTACTTCGAGTCCCCACAGAGCCCTTCAAAACAAATACGTATTTACTTCGATCATGCCACACCCTTCAGCTACCCCCATCCTGCCGCTTCGGACAGCTGGTTGAGGATACTTCGCCACAGGATTTCGCCAACTCCCAGGCTCCCTACGTTTGGGATCGTTTGGGATCCGACTTAGGCCCCCCAGCGACTGTTGACCCCACATGGCCAAGCTTAGCTGAGCTTAAGCTCCACTTTCACAGCGGCTTCTGTTTTTAAAGGGGAGCACGCCAGTACCGAGCCACAAATCCCAAACCACCCCCGGCTTCAGCTCCGCCACCCAGGGCCGGTGTAGCCGCCGGAGCACATGGGTATGATCACCTGCGCTGCCCGCTCGTGTGGGTAGGGCCCACAGACCCTAAACCCTAAACCCTAAACCCTTGGGGTAGAACCTGCGATTAAAAAAAAGTAAAGAAACACTCGCACATGAGGCCCTTGCCGCACCTGCACGGGTTCGCCAGGGCCCGAGCTGGCGTTGAGCAGGCCTCATGAAGCCACCCCGAGCCCGAGGAGGCTTCTGGGCTTAGATTTGTCCCTGCAAAACAGACCACAAAAACCGCTGCTAGGGCATCGGGCACCCTTATGCCCTCAGAAACCCGAAGCCCTAAACCCGAAACCGGAAACCCTTTGCCCGAAGCCCGAATTCAGCCCTTGAGCAGCACAGAGTTTTCCCGACTCGGGTCGCTGAGGTCTCAGGGTGGTTAGGGTTTAGGGTTGAGGGTTGAGGGTTGAGGGTTGAGGGTTGAGGGTTGAGGGTTGAGGGTTGAGGGTTGAGGGTTGAGGGTTGAGGGTTGAGGGTTGAGGGTTTAGGGTAATTGGGGTTCTGTGGCCTCCCGGGCAGGCCAGATCACTTGGGCACTGGTACCACTCGGACAGGTCGTCTGCACGGAGGGGGTCCAGAACGACCTGGGAGTTTGGGCGTTTTGGCTACCTGTTTGTTTCTCTTTCTTTGTTGTTTGAGTTACGAACATTTTTTGATAGTTATTTGATAGTTATTCAAATTTGAATATCTACTTATATGATCTTGTTTAGCTCTCCCGGTGGGGGGAAGGGGGGGCAGGGGAAGGGGGGACAGGCTTCGTGGGGCTTGGGGGCTTAGGGGCACTAGAGGCGTGACAGGCCGCACATGAGACTTGCTGGCAGTGCAAGAGGAGCTGAAAGAATGGATCCACAGCTCAATCGACGGACTCATCTAGACCAACGGGGCCCATGCGTTCTCAACACCAAGGCAACCCAAACACAAGCAAGGCCCCTCAAGGCCAGCGTGCAAACAGACTGGCATGTAGAAAAAGTAAGGTCGCGCCTAGTCTCTACCAAAATGGAGGGTCCGTCCAGTTTTGTTCAAAAAGAACCAGGACTCCCATCCCCCCCCCCCCCCTTGAGTTCAAGAAGTATGGCTCGGCTGCTGCCCCTAAACCCTAAACCCTGAACCCTGGGTTTGCTTGTTTGCTTTGCCCACCTGCCTGGCTGGGCCTGGGGTTGGGAGTCGTGAGATTTGGCTCCGCACTTTGAGCACGTTCCAAAGGGCCCCCCGGGGCGCGAGCCATGAAGCCCGCTGGCACACCCAGCATCGTCGGCTCGCAAGAGATTGTCACGTTGCTGACGGCCGGGCAGCGGGTGCAGCTTGTGCTGTGCATGGTGAGTCCTTACATACACTCCCCTAAACCCTAATTTGCCACTGGACTGAAGGCAAACCCTTTTTTTAAACCCTAAACCCGAAACCCTAATCACGCTGCTGAAAACGAAACTTTCCCCAAAGCCGGGCGTCGCGTGTGGCCTTTCGAGCATGATTGGCAACTTGCCTCGCCCTGCTTGTTCACCCACCCCAGCCCTCGGCCGCACCTGAGTTGTGCTTTAAATCCTCTGAAAGTTCCCTTGCAAGGAAATAAAGTGCAGTTTACATGCAACGATTTATGAACAGGTTCCCTTTAAGGAAACAAGTGTAATTTGACTGAAACTATTTCTGAATAAATTCCCTTACAAGGAAATGAATCGACTTATCCCCAAAGCACAACCCAGGGGCGCAAGGTTTCCAAGCTGCAGGTTGCCAGTCTCCAGGTCAGTTTCGAACTGGCACCCAGGCGAAGCCAAGCAGTCCACAGAGCCAATCCTGGGCTGTACGGGGATCTTATGGGGTTTAGGGTTTTGGGTCTAGGGTTTAGGGCCCCGTAGAACGAAACGATGAGTCAGTGCGCCATCTATCCTTACTTCGGTCACTTAGTTGAAGCTCCTTGGAAAGCCTTAGAAACAGCAGCCCAAGACACACCAGGGAGCTCGCCATGGCCTGTCCCGGCCGCAATGTGTCGACACGGAGGCTTGCAACGCTCGCATTGCCGAGGGTCACAAAGATCCCCGCCGAAGGCGCGCCACCGCCGACCACTGCCATGTCTTGCACTTTCAGGTCCCCCTGCGCAGAAAGGGCGCCACCTCGCCCGGACGCTGCGCAAGCCCGGAAGAGCGACGTGCCTCGCACGGTCAGGTTGCCCAGAACGTAGAGGCATCCGCCTTCGCGCGCGGTTGCGGGCCCCATTCGCAGCCCAGCTTCAAAGCGGGCACTGCGCCCAACGTATACTCCCCCACCGAGGTCGTGCGCCAACGAGTTGAGGACATCAATCTCTGTGCTTACAGTCATGCTCCCATTCCGCACATAGATGCTGCCTCAGTGCAAGAAGCATGGGTCAGGCAGACCGCGGGTTTTAAATCCTCACCATTGCTTGACATGATAGATGTGTACCAGTGGCCATCGGTTACTGTATGAAAGAATGCAGAATACATGGTCCGGACATCGCCCAGCGTCAAGGGCAATGCGCTTGCTAAGTTTGCATGGCGCCCTGTTTTATTGTGGTGCGCTGTTGTTCCCCACCCTCGGTGTGGGGTTGTTAGATGTCAAACTCATCTGTTCTCCTCGCCCGGAATTCTTCTCCTCGCCTGGAACTCTTCAACTCGCCCGGTCTACTCCTCGCGCATCTTTGGAGTCCCAACCCCAAAGTGCCCTTGGAGTGTGCAACTCTAGAGTGTCTCTGGAGTGCCCAACCCCAGAGTCTCCCTGGAGTGCCCGCCCAGCCACAGAGTCTTTCTAGAGTGCCCAACCCCAGAATCTCCCTAGAGTGCCCAACCCGTGCCCAACCCAAATCCCAGCCCAGAGTCTCCCTGGAGTGCCCAACCCCAGAGTCTTCCTGGAGTGCCCAACCGCAGGGTGTGCCCGGGGTGCCCAGCCCCAGAGTTTTTTCTGGAGTGCCCAACCCCAGAGTCTCGTGGCCAACCCCAGAGTGTCCCCGGAGTGCCCAGCCCCAGAGTGTCCCTGGAGTGCCCAACCCCAGAGTATCTCTACCAAGAGAGGATGGGGATGTTCGAAGTAAAGTGTCTTTTCGTTGGTCTTGGAGATATTTTGCCCAGAGAGTGCCACTCTTGGGGTGCCCATGCGCAGGGGCCGCGGGGACACAGAGTGTCCATGCTCCAAGATTCTGAAACATAGTTCAGCAAACGTCCTAGGAGCATGCGCCGCGCACCCTTGTTGTAGTATGGAGTATGGGGAATCTGTAATATTAGGGGGGGGGTTAATCTCCGTAAACCTTTTTGCAAGGGACTCGACTGCTGCCCTAAACCCTAAACCCTAAAACCTCAACCCTCAACACCATGCAGCTGCTTGCACAACCTAAACCCTAAATCCCAGCACATTCGTCCTGATTGTACCAAGGTGCCTCCTTTCTTTGACGTACACCACCTACAGCTGAAAGCGCCGGCGACGTGGAGATCACCGTTGTCCAGGCTGATTCCACCTGGTGAGCTTGTCTCTCGGGTTTTCAGGGTTTAGGGTGCTTTTCTTTGCCACCAGCCTAGCTGACCTTGCGGCCACTCTGCAGGGAACTATCTGGCTATGGTTTGCTGACATCTCGGGAAAAAACTGACGCGTCAACCAGAGTTCAGTACAGACAACACACTCAACAACCCTCACAACCCCTGGTTAGGGGGTCAGGGGAGATCAGGGTTCAGAACTCCTGGCGTCTCAGAAATTGCACCGGTTCGACATTACACCTTCATACGGTGTGAGTTTGAGCTGCACACTCCACCACGGCGCCTCGAGAAGAATGCCATAGTGGCATCAGTCTCATCCCTTCAATGAGCCACTCGTTTTAGTCAGGATTGGATCTATATCCAGGTGCGGCTCCTTCTGTTTCATAACGCTGCAAGATTGGTAAAGACCCGCGTTAAACAACACCTAGGCGAGTTTTGGTCTGGATCACCATTGCTTGGGGATCGTGGTAAGGGAGAATCCTTCTTCCTCAATCTGTACAGTTGTGTCTTGTTTGGGAGCATACATATAGGTCCTCACCAACACTATCGTTTGGGTTTAGGTTGGGTTTAGGGTTCAGGGTTTAGATGGGTTTAGGGTTCAGGGTTTCTGGTGGAGGGTTGTTGAAGGAACTTATCCGCAAGAGGAAACCCTGCAGCTTTGGTGTCACTAGTCACTCTGGGTTCGGGCAAGGGAGGGGCTATGCAATGGCCAGACGAATGAAATCAGACCAGACAGTCTTGCAAACCCTTCGACAAAGCAGGTTCCCCTTCAGCCATCGACGATTTTCTTCCCCACCTCCAGCCAAGCCGGCGTCGCAGTGCTCTAGATCCACGCGCCCCCCGCGAAGGGCGACGCCGAGTGATGATTGGCTGGAGATGGCACCTGCACAGAAAGGTGCGGATGGCTCTCAGAAGGGCGCGAGCATCTCTCTGCACCAGGTGGGTGAGTTGGACCCAGGTTCCAGATTCAAGTATGTCTTGGGGCGGGCGCAATCAAAGGAGGTTGTGACAAAGCTTTAAGAGACGACGTTTCTGTCTCCGCTGGGCTTTCGGCCACGGAAACAGTGAGAAATCGGAAGCGCGAGCGAATGTGCGGGATTCCTTGATTTTCAGACACGCAGCTGCCGGCAGCTGCGCTCCGAGAATCAAGAGCTGCCTGCCCCCTATGTGCTCACTGAACTACGCACAGTTCACACTCGCAGCTGCAATCCCCTCTTGATCCCTGCTGGTTCTGCCAGGGGACATGAACAGATAATCGAAATCGTTCCTTCAGTATTCTTAACCTCTGGAAATCTGGAGACTCACAAAAGCGACACGAATTCAACAACATGCGAACCGGAACACGTGATTCCTCCTAGCTTTTTCATACTCAGCAGCCACTTCACCGATCGCCACTCCGCTCTCAAATGCCCATCTCGTGTTATGGCAACTTACTTTCTGTTCCTCAACAGAAGCCCTGTTTTGGGTAGCGGGGCGTGGCATGAGCGGCATGACCTCCATGATCAGATCATGTGCTTCAACAGCGCGTCGCTTTAAGTTCTGATGCTAGGAGCCTCCATCAAAGCCCGCGGAAGCATTCCGAATCGACATGTTGCCACCCGTGACCTCACAGGGGTGTGGGGATTGCCTTCGGGATTTCAAGGCCTCAGGGCTTGGATGCAGTTGCCACCCCCTGCGTGTCCTCGAAGGAGCCATGTCCCAAAATTTGATAGAGCTGGGCACTGGAGTAGATGGCACCTGCACCGGTTGACGGCAGCCGAACCCGACATCAAAGCTCGAAGCCCGAACCCCGGATAGACAAGACCCAACCTACTATTTGCTTAAGCAGCCCCAAAACAATAAAAGATCACAGTCCCTAGAAATTACCCCAATAAGGAAGAATATTCGTCTGTTGTTTTCTTTTTGGGGGGCGGGGGGGGGGGGGGGGGGGGGGGGGGGGCCGGGTTCCTAGCAATTGGTAGCAACTCTCAGCAAGGCAAGAGTCTTGCGGTTGGGCTCGGGTTTTCGTCTGATTTTGCCTTTGGGCCTCGTTGGCTGGGGCGAGCGAGAAACCACTTGAAGAAGGATCACCCCTCCGGTTCAAGGGTGGGCCTGAATTTTTCTGACGGAAGGTGATGGAACCTTCGATCACAGATCCCAGAATTCTGTACCATTGATTCATTCGCCTGTGAGCACTGGCCCCTTCCCCTTCAGAGAGTATCCTCCATTGATGGACAACCGACACAGCCGAAGATCCAGGTTAACCTACCATTAGCCTTGTGTTTTGAAGAACCTTTGCGACCACGTTGGGATTGTTAGGTACACCTGTCGCCCAGCATGCCTCCATATCTGCTTGCAGTGCAAAGTTCACTGCGCAAGTCGCCGCCGGCGAGGGTGAAGGCACCTGTCGATTGTTTTTGGTTCTTGATTGATCGCAGGTGATGAAAGGCTTCGGAGTTTCCCAGGTTGCGTAGGGGCTTCGGCCTGGTTTCGACTGCTACTGGAAGACTGGCCAACCTGACCCAGCGGGGTTTAGGACTGTGGGTTCTTTTGCTCGCTTTGCAAACGAAAAATAAAATGCACCAAGCGACCGCCCATCAGCGCAATGGCTCCTGGCGTGGCAGCGATGCTAAGGCGTCGCATGAGTGTACCAGAGCCCGGCACCCGACTGATTCAAGACAGCCAAGGAACTTTCCAGGGCTTATAGGCTTATAGAGTTCGGTCTCTGCATGTCTCTGCCGAACCGGAGATCGTTTCCACGTTTAAGACAGGCAGTGAAACACGACAAACACCATCCTTTATTACAGGCCCGCACGTCACACGTTCACGTTGTATTAAGGGTTTAAGTTCAAGGTTGAAAACACGGCTGTGGCTTGAAACATCTGCCGGCGGAGGGCTTAGGGGAGGAAGAGAGGAAAGGAAGAGGACATGAGTCCGAGTTGCACTTTGCACCATGACATGCTACTCTCAAGAACCGTTCATCCTCTCGGAATTCCCATTGCAATCTTGTTTCGATGGGCCGAATCTACCCCCAAGTCTTTATGGGCCCCCAACCCGGGCCGACACGGCCTCCGCTGGTGGCGCGGCAGCTGTCAATCCGAAGGCTACCACCCAGGATGGAGACATTCTGGTGGGTAGCGATGGCACCTTTCCAAAAGCGCAGGGCTTCAGGAAGGAAGACAAAAAGAAGGAGCCAGGGGGGCGAGAGGGGGGCGGCGTTCTCTGCTACATGCAACTTCGATTTGCGAGTTTAAGGAGTTCTGAGGCAAGAATGAAATTGTTGGTCGCAGAAACAAAAGCTACCTAGTAAACATAGCGCACGTGCCTCCGAACTTCTTTGCAGTGGAGTTCCGGATGAGCACACTGCCCTTGTGCATCTCGAAGGAACCCTGCTGAAGGTAAATTGCACCGCCACCACAAACTCGGTATCCAAATTCTCCTTCCAGGCACGCAGCATGCCTGCTCACGACACTGCACTGTTTTGACAACTTGGCATTCCCTGGACACACATCCACCAAATGGTTGGCGCATGCCATCAAATGTGCCTTCGCCGAGGGATTCGGTGTGCTCGCTTTCAAAGGTGCCACCCGTGACAATCATGTCACCTCGAACCACCATTATTGCACCTTGCAAAGTGCATCTAGGAAAGACTGAGAATTCAATGCAAAAGATGCACCTCGAAAACCCGCATGTAGGAGTCACACAGGTGCTGTGTGCTGATCGGTACTTGTACATATTGAAAGCTTAGTGGGTTTTTGGCCCTTCTGTGGGTAATAAGGCTGCTTCACAGGTCAGGCTTCTGATATTTCACGGCTGGTGTCCTAGTAATTATCTCTGCCTGCCTCCTCGTTCACTGCTGGCTCCATGTACGAATAGGCGACCATCACGCAGGGAAACATGGTATGCAGAGATTGCTCCTCTCGAGGCGGGTAGGCATCCGTCCGGACAACGTAGCTCCCTCAAACCCTCCACATAGGGATCCTCCCAAGACCCTCTGCCGACAACCCTCTGCTAGCAAGCACACTGGATGTGGATTTGGTTGAAGTTCTTACGGTATCTTATGGAGTTCAAGGCTCTAGGCTTCATAATTTAAGTCCAGCATTTAGCACCGCATGTGAGGCCTCCAGTTCCACTGACAACGTAGGCCTTGATGATGGAAAGGTTGCCGCCCGAAACCTCAAAGCTTTCCCCACGCTCGCCCTCTTCTGGTCCCATCGCGAAAATGGCACCTGCTGTGGAGCCACGGGGGTCTGAGTACCGCTGCACTTTTGCCAGCGTCATGCATGCCTAAGCCTGTTTTGAAGGTCTGGATAAAGAATGCCTAGAGACGGCACTGCTTAAGACTCTTTGGTTTATGTTCTGACCCTGATCTGTAAGGAAAATAATGATTGTTTGGTTATTTCCAAAGAGGTCCCCCAAGAAAAATGTTTCAGAGCAACCCCCATACGGAGCGGTGTGGCGAAGGGTAGGGGATGCTGGATTAGGGTTTAGGGTTTAAGGTTTAGGGTTTAGGGTTTAGAGTTTAGGGTTCAGGGTTCAGGGTTTAGGGGGTTTTTGGAGGCTTGTCGCATTGTTATTCTTTTGTCGCCTGCGTCTCCACTCATGTGCCCGTGAGGATGGGGAATGCGGGTGCGGGCGTCTCCCTTGTCGGGGCCACTACGGACAAGATAGGGTTTACGGTTTAGGGTTTCTTCCTAAACTTGGAAAACTCCTTCATGAGCTTGCTGCACGGCATCGTCCTGAAACAATCCCAGCGAGGATTCTAGCTGAAAATATATAGTTGCGAAGATAGCGCTTCGATTTCTTTTCAACTGGCGCGACGCGATGCTCTTCTGCTTCGGTTTTGGTTGGCTGCACCTCCACCAGTCTGGCTCATGGTGTCCTGGATCAGGACTTGGCCACCACTGAAATTCGCACCCTGCCTGGCATAGACCCCACCTTGCAAGGACATCGACAAGAACATGATGTTTTGCCATGCAGTGGGACGCCGCAACCAAGGGGGCTGGGACTCAGGAAAGGCGAAAACCCAAAGAAAACTGAAACGAAACCTGCAATCCCTAAACCAGTCACGATCGCGCCTCCGGCAATCTGGGAGGTGGCGTGACGGACCGTCATGTCACCGCCAGAAACCTGCAGGAGTCCAAGTCCTAGCCCTGGTTGCCTGGGAAACCATGCTGCCAAGGGTTAGATAAACTCCCCGGCGAATGTAAACACAACACCATGGACAGGCTCCTGGTACAATCGGGTTTAGGGTTTAGGGTTTAGGGTTTAGGGTTTAGGGTTTAGGGTTTAGGGTTTAGGGTCACCGCAGTGAGAAACGACGAAAAGCTATCTGCTCACAGTTTTCTCGGTTGGCACACCAGTAGCTTGGGATGCTGTCGGGACCTGATCCTCTGCAAAACGAGCATGCGCTGGCGATTCCAAAGGCAATCTCATGCCGTGGCTGGCACTGACAAACTAAATTTCGTGCCCTACGTGGCCAAGGTTGCTTGAATTGCCTAATGTTAGCTGCTAGCGCTCCATCCATGGCAATACAGTTGGAACTTTCTGCTGATGCTGTAATGGCAAATGTCTACTAATGTTGCTACATTGGCAAAGTGATATTTATATATACATATATATATATATGTGTGTGTGTGTACAAATACAAAAATATATGAGTATATTATATCCAATGTATAAAAAACAATAGAGTATTCATGTGCCGGTCTATACTGACGCATACACTGATCTGTCAATATTTCACTCACTCACACACACACACACACACACCCACCCACGCGCGCGCGCGCGCGCGCGCGTGCACTCAAGCACGCGTGCGCACGTGCGTGCGCGTTCGTGCGCGCAGGCGCGCAATTTTTTCCCATTCCACACACAGTCAGCTCCCGATCTCAAGTCAGCTAACAAGCGTATGCGGTTACATCAGCAAGAAGCCGACGGCTCCTTCAAAAGAACATGATGAAACTGCCCGTAGGATCGGAGTCATCAACACAGACCAGGGCCTCGTGGCACTAGAAGGGATACAAACAAGGAAAACACTGATGACTCAGCTACGAAGACTGGCGCTCATCCACACAATCCGTGAGGTTGTTCTAGACAGAAAACGATGCTACCCATCTCAAACAAGCGCGCAAGCGCGCAAGCGCGCAAGCGCGCAAGCGTGAGTGCGCGTCTACGTGCGCGCGTGCGCGTGCGCGTGCGCGTGCGCGTGCGCGTGCGCGTGCGCGTGCGCGTGCATTGTGCGCGCGGTGAGCTGTAGCGCGTGAGAGCACGTGCGAGTGCGACGTGGCCGATGTGCGCCGTAGAGCTGTGCGCTGTGCTGCGTGAGCTGTGCGCCTGTGCGAAGGCGAGCTGTGAGGTGCGCAGTGCGATATTCGGCGATGGGCACGGTCACTTGTGCCGCGTGCAGCTTGAGCGGTGCGTTGTGCCGTGCGCTCGTGCGTGTGCGCAACGTTGCGCGTTGCGCTGTGGTGCGCGGCCGAAGCAGGTTGTATTGTGAG